TGAAACTAAAATCCATCATTTAAAAGAGGAACATAATGATAATATAAATAAAATTCAAAAAGTTAATAATGATAATGATAAACAATCAAAAAAATTCATTTCGTATAATAATTATAATACGAGCTACAAAAAACCAAATCCCTGCCACTCCTGCGGCGGAAACTATAGAAGGGAAAATTGTTTTTTCAAGAATGCCACCTGTTATAAATGCAACAAAATTGGGCACATTGCTCTAGTCTGTAGAAAAGAAATAGTGAATTTTATTAATAATAAAACAAACTAATATAATCCAGAATTTTGGATGTTAAAATAAACAACAGCGATATCAGAATGGAATTAGATAATGGAGCTGGGGTAAGCATAATTAACGAAAGAGATTGGAAAAATAAACTTAATTGTCCTGGATTAACAAATTGCTTGCTAAAACTTAAAAGCTATACTGGAACCAATATACCACTATTAGGTCAGACTGTAGTAAAAGGACGAATATTAGAACTACCTCTCATAATTACAAAAAGATATACCAAAAATCTGATTGGAAAAAACTGGATAACTAAATTTCCCAAAATGACTGAAATACCTGAAAAGACCATACAAATAAATAACATTAATATACAAAATGAATTTCTTTAATTATTTACCAAAGAATTGACCTGCTTGAAAGATTTTAAGGCACAAATATATATGAAAAACGAGAATCCAATTTTCTGTAAATCACGTTCCTTACTATACGCTTTAAAAGATAAAGTTGAAGAAGATTTAGACAGATTGCTAAAAATAGGAGTAATAGAAAATATTTATCATTCAATAGTAATTGTTCAAAATAAAGATAAAGCATTACGAATTTGCGGGGATTTAAAAAGAACTATAAATCAAAATATCAATATTGATTCATACCCAATACCAAGAATCCAAGATTTATTAGCCAGTTAGGGAAAAGGAGAGGAATTTTCAATATTGGATCTCTCAGATGCCTATTTTCAAATTAAAGTGGGGGAAGAGTCTCAAAAGTATCTTGTAATCAATACGCATAGAGGATTATTTAAATATACAAGACTACCTTTTGGTATATCGTCTTCTCCAGCTATATTTCAACGAGCCATTAAGAATTTATTAAAAGGTTTTGAAGGAGTAGCTTGTTATTTAGATGATATTATAATAACCGGGAAAATAGAGAGAAGCACGAAACAAATTTAAAAAAGGTATTAAAATGTCTAGATGAAAAAGGAATCAAGCTAAAAATAGAAAAAGTAAATTTTTCAAACAAGATGTCGAGTACTTAGGACACAATATTTCAAAAACGGGATTACATCTACCGAAAAAAAATACTGAGGCAGTAAAAAAAGCACCAGAACCAAAACTTGAAACAATTACAGTCATATCTAGGGTCACATACTATTCAAAATTTATTTCAAATTTTGCAACCAAAGCCAAACCATTATACAAATTATTAGAAAAAGCAGTTGCTTGGAGATGGACTAATGAATGCAAAGGCGCGTATAAAAAAATAAAGCAAGAAATAAGTAGTACTCCAATATTACAACATTATAAAATTACCCATTATATTAGCAACAGATGCGTCAGCCTTAGGAATTGGGGCAGTAATATCACATATAGAGGGGGGTAAGGAGAGGCCAATTGCATTCGCCTCAAGAACACTAAATGCAACTGAGAAAAATTATAGCCAAATACAAAGAGAAGCTCTTGCCATCATATTTGGGGTTACAAAATTCAAAGAATTTATATATGGGAAAAAGTTCACATTACAAACAGACCACAAACCATTAATAAGTTTATTTCATCCAAGAAAAGACATACCAACAACATCTACTGCCAGAATACAAAGATGGGCTTTATTATTAGCAGGTTACCAATATGAAATAGAAGTCAAAAGTAGTAGAAAATAGCAAATGCTGACATGCTATCTAGATACCTATAAAGGGAACTCCAATATTAAAAGAAGAAACGCCAGATCAAATACAGATGGTAGAAACACCTTTAAATGCAAGCGAAATTGAAAGAGAAACAATGCGAGATGATATACTTTCGAAAGTATACAGATATACAATAGACGGATGGCCAATAAACTATGATGCATGTTTAAAGGAGTATAGCCAAAGGAGAGAGGAAATTACAACAGAGAGAGGTTGCTTATTGTGGAGAACTAAAATGATAATACCACAACAATACCGAAACAACATGTTAGACATGATACATCAAGGACATATTGGAATGATAAAAATGAAAATGAAAGCAAGACAATATGCTTGGTGGCCTAATATAAACCAAGATTTAGAAACATGGGTCGAAAAATGTAGAGAATGCCAGGAACAACACGATATGCCTTAAAAGACATCAATTCAAAATTGGCCACCAAAAGCATGGCACCGAGTACATATTGATTATGCTGGACCATTCCAAAAACATTATTGGTTGGTAGTGATAGATGCTAGCAGTAGCTGGCCAGAAATAGCACCGAGTACATATTGATTATGCTGGATTTCAAAATTATTATTGGTTGGTAGTGATAGATGCTAGCAGTAGCTGGCTAGAAATAGTTCCCATGAAATACTATAACCGAAGGCACTATCAAAATATTAAGAAATATTTTTGCCAGATTCGGTTTTCCTAAGACAATCGTTTCTAATAACGGACCACAATTCAGCAACAAAGAATTCTATGATTTCTGCAAAAAAACGGAATACAATTAGTGCACGGAAGTCCTTACCATCAGATAAACGGCATGTCCGAACGATTAGTTCGAACTTTTAAACAGAGCATGAATAAAAGAAACTAGGGGCATTTCGAAACCAGTCTAGCTATTTTTCTCTACAATTACAGAAATATACCAGGGGCAGAAACTAAAAGTCCAGCTGAAATACTACTAAAAATTTAGAGAGACCCGAAGTGGAAGAGAGAACCGAAGAGAGAGTTGACAAAGAGGACATAATAAGCAATAACGATGAATTGAATCTAAAGGAGAGAAGGAAATAACTATAACTCAAGATCGTTTTCCCAAAAGAATACGAACGAAACCCAATATATTGTGGATAAATGATAAATATTGAATTGTTGTTTTGTTATTTTTTTGTATTTTTTGTAAAATGTTTATTTTAATTATTTATTTTATCATATGAATTTGAATAACAAAAAATGAGATTTTTAATAACAAAAAATGAGATTTTTAAAAATAAAAAATTGCGATTTCGATATTTCCATAATTACTAAAAAAGACATTACATTATCAAATTTGAATTCATTAATATTTAAATGTTTTTGACACTGACGATGTATCGAAGAGCTAACACATTCAATTATATTTTCTGAGGTATCACTTCATATATTTATACTTCTTAAGGAAGGAAATGCCATTTATTTTTACAAGTGCTAATGGATATTGCGATATATGAAATAACTCTTAGATTTCTAAGGATTGCTTGATAAATCAAGAACTTCACATTTATTTAATTTAAACTATCCAAATGGATAGTGTTGCTAAAAACCTAGATTTGATCGATTTAAAAACTAACAAATTAACAATTTAGCCAAAAACATTACCTACAAGAATTAGATACTCTTTTGGCGAAATCTCGAGGTTTTATTAAATCGGCTAAATTTATGTTTTAAGCATTACTAAAGAGGGGAATGAAGAGATTTATTTTATAGTATTATTCCACTGATCTTACGGAATCTTAGTGCGAGCCGAGGTATGTGAATTAGAGGTAACCCCTCCTGTTCAATATTTAAAAAAAATTTAACCCGCGCCCAACTCTCCCATAGTTTTTAAAAAATGTACACGCCCGCCCTTAAGTCTAAAATTATTTACCCACCTACCTATTAGTCTAAATTTTTTTTATCTGTCTGCCAATTATATAAAAAAAATTTTAACCCATGCCACCCATAAAATTTGAATAAGCTGATTCTTTCAATTTTTTTAAAAATCTAATTTAAAAAAATGATTCAGTTTCAGCCCTACACCCCTAAAAAAAAATTTATAATTTAGAAAATTATTATATTAAGCAAAAAAACAATATAAATTGCGGATAAGGAATTTATTTGATTTAATAAAATATTTATAAAAAATAAAAATATAAAATTAATATTTATTGATATTATTTCTAATTATAATGCAAGAATAATAATGAATCCACATTTTCAGGATTCACGCACGTTCCTTTTTGTTCTATAAACCTTACAGCAATGATAATTCCTCGTTCAGAAGAATCACTGGTTTATCTTGATATATTCTTCCATGTAAATACATTTTTTGATATCAACACACCTCAGAGATCAAATGGTATTAAAAATGTTGAAATTTCATAGAACATATTTTTTTTATAACAAATAAAAATAGTAAATTTTTTAACCCGCCGATCCGCCCGCCCATAGTTTAAATATTTTTTAACCCTCCCGCCTCTTTAAAAAAGTGAACGGACTTCTAATATTAATATCAAATTCATAAAGCTCTGTTTGAACTTAAAAATCACATAATTTCTCATCAACATATGATAATCCTTTAAGTTTTAAATATATTTTTTATGATGCCAACTAAATTTATTTTTTTTGAAAGATATTTATAAAATATCATATATATTATTTGTTGACACATTCCAAGTTCAATAAAGCGTTTTCTTTCTAAAGATAAGATTTTTTTCAGGACATTTCATTTCACTAAGCAATCTTAATAAACTTATTTAACTCCATAAAATCACTGATTACTTAATGACTTTAGCTTTTTTAAAATATATTACTATTCTGCATTTTTTGGCTCTTGGGAAGATTGTCTCCCTGCCCCCCCCCCGCTGTGATGATCAGGCTGGATTTTGCAGATCTCTTATTAATAAGGTTAAAATGTTACTAAAATACTTATGTTTTAGAGGCCCTATCCATTTTAAATAATTATTTTAAACATCTTTTCATAATTTTACCTTTTTCTTAAATTGAATGCTTATGTATTTTGCTGTTATCATAGGTTTATAATATTAATAATTTTATTTTAGAAAACATCTCCTCTGATGCCTCCTCATTTTCGTCCAATAATCATTCAAATTCATCCCTATCAGTCCATGTTTCCAAAGATGTATCCAGCCAAAACAACAAGGATCATTTCACTATTGATTCGTTTATAACCTCTCAAAACACCGATATTTCAAGCAAGGATCAAGTTTACTTATTAAAAATAAAATATTTAAATTATTTAATATCGATAGCGCACATAAAATAACACCGAGGGAAATACTTTTTTGAATTTTATTTTTCCTCATTCTAATTTTTAACATCAATCATCTCAATTTGTATATATATTCCTCCATTTCATAAGCCTAGATAATGGAAACTGACCGGATTTCTCGGTCTTTTTATTTTTTTGAACAGAGCCAGACGCATCTTAGTTAGTAAAATAATAAACTAGTGTATAATAAATGAATAACAATAATTATATATTATATTATTTAAATGTAAATAGACAGAAACAGAAACAAATAAAAACATAGGACATGAAAGGAATAAAATATAATATTATTATGTAAGATAAAAATAAATCTTTGGTTCCCAATCAAGTGTGATCTATCTCCAAATTTAAGAGATTCTTAATCTAAGTATAGTCATCAAACTTTGAATCATTTTTGGAGATATTCTATTTCTTTTTTGTTTATCAGGTCTTGCTATTGAGAAAGCTTTTTCACATGGCACCGATATATCTTGTATAGGTAAACAATTTCTAGCATTCTGATTAAAAAAAGGAAAGCGGAACATTTGTTTTTCATCATATTAATATCGGAAATTATTTTTATTTGATTATCTTGAATTACCAAGTTTTAAATTCTCCTAAAAAGCTAAAAAAAATCGGTATTTGGTAGATCTAGCATATATACTAGTAAAAATAGTTAGGCCATAAGTGGTGTATTGCTTAAAAATTTGGCGGGAGGGAGAGGAGGGCTACGATTTTATTTATATATTTAAAAAAATACGATATATATTTTAACAACTAGTTGATTATCACCAACTAATGTCCCTGTAAGAGTTTAATTAAAATTGTTTGAAAGTTATTATTGGTGGCTCAATATAAGATTTTTTAAATTAATATCACGAGGTTGGTATAGCTTAATGGGTAAGTAAATATCGCGGCCTAATGACACTAAAAAATATTTAGGGGAGTAGGAGTAGATTATGGAAGGGTTTTGCTTCGAATGAATTTTCTGCAATCTAGACGCTGCCTACACAATTTTTTATTATTGTCAACATGTTTCTATTGATTTTTTTTAAAGGTCAGTGGATCCAAAATAATTCATTGGCAATAAAACACCAAATAACCTGATAATATTATCCATATTTATTATGTCGAACAATTCGTAGACTAAGATGATAGTTTTCGCTTAAAGGTTGGTTTAGCCTATTTAAAGTTGGCTCACAACCTGCTAAATATGGAGCTGGTAAATTTTTTATACTTTAAATCAGAAACGGCGGCGATTTATAATAATAATGAAAATAAAGTATTAGAAAATAAAACTTATTGCTTCTCTATCATCTATGTCATAAATATCATTTAAATCTCTTTTCAAATTTTTTTTATATATTTCTATATATAAAAAATATGAAAATAATGTACAACATTTTATTATAATTTTAAATACATAACAATTTCCTTTAATATTAATGCATTCTAAGTTGATTAAATTTTGTAAATAAATACTGTAATGTAATTTTACTTATATCATAAATAAATAAAAGTAACTAATAAAGTTAAATTCTACCTTATTATAATTATTTTATTAAGAGCCTTTTAAAATTATCTAATGTTATATATCAATTGTAGCTTAAATATTTCCTCTAATAAGAACTTGCTAAAATAATTATATATAAAGTATATTAGGGATGTGCCGATATTTTTTATCAGATCGGATCGGGCCGATTTCACTCATTTTAAAATATCGGTTATCGGCCAATATTATAAAATTTGATCCGATATAAAATGGCTTCTTTAACAAAAATAAAATGTTATAAAATTTTTAAAAAAACTAAGATTTATTTTTATAAATAAAATCGAAATCCATTTTTATGTATATTTTTTTAATAATAATAATTAATTAATAAACATTCTGCCATATTGTTAATTTTTTTGCGCATTCTGTTAAATTGTGCGATATTCTCTTCAGAATCTGTTTTTAGTGAAGCTGGTGATATTGACAGTCACTATCGCCGCGAGCTGACCTCTGATAAATTGGAAATATTGGTATTTCTAAAAAGAAATCTTCGATATATTAATGTTAAATATTATTATAAATATTTATTTCAAATTTCATAATATAATTTATTACTTATTATGTATATAGATTAATGTTATTACTTATTATATAAAAGTGATTTAACAATAAAAATATTTTATATACTTTTAGAATTGCAATTGAATTGAATATAAACATAAACTATAACTGATCATTATAATATATTTAAATGACATAAGTTATGGTATAGTTAAATTAAAGATGTTATAATAATAAAAAGTATATTAAAAATTAAAACCATTGGTATCTTTACAGAATACAAAATTAGATATGAATTGGATCGGTAATCGGCCGATATCAATTTAATATCGCGAATATCGGATCGGCCTCCAAAAAGTGGTATCGATAAACCCCTAAAAAATATATATCCAAAATGATTTTAATTTGATAATCAACCATCTTCTATAAAAAATTTTAATAACAATTATCTAAGAGGGACTTAAGTATAATAGATATTATTATGTTAATAATTATAAAATAAAAATGTATAATATATTTTAATATGTTTAACAAAGTTTATAGAGGGGTTTGTTGAACCTTTAATAACTTTTTTACTTGTGCAATTTTGACATTCAGCTTGTACCTTGTTCTTTTTCACATGAATTACTCTATAAAATTTCCCATCTATAATTTTAAGATTCAGATTTGATTCAGGAGAACCTATCTCCATAATTTCATCTTCACTACTATGATTGTTAAACATTCTACAAATTAGTTTTGGTGTTATTTTTAATCTATCTATCTTTGTGACCTGCAAAGATGTACGCTTGGAAACACGAGTATGAACAAGGACGCAGGTTCAATCCTGGTAAGAACCATAAAAACTTTAAATTTTTCTTCGATGACTGATGTGTAAAGACATATGGTATGATGAATTTCGGAGCTTAGAGATGACACCCCGGTCACCGACAGGCCTGGACAGCCGGGTGCTAAGGATACCTGTCCAATAAACAAAATGAAGGACACAAATGAAAATAATATGAAAGCTAGGGCGTTCCCTCCATGCGACGCGCAGGGTGTAGACCTCCATCCTGTGAAAAGTAAAGTAAAGGTCAAAGCAAAGAAAACAAGATTAGCAAGTTTGAATATTGGGACGTTTAAAGGTAAGATGAGAGAATTGGCATCAATGTTGAACAAGAGAAAATTTGATTTAGCGTGCATACAAGAGACGAAATGGAAAGGACAGAAGACTTTGATGATTGGAGATGGGTATAAATTGTACTATAATGGACTTGTTAGCAATAGGAACGGTGTCGGCATCATCCTCAGTTGTAGAAGTCAACAGGATCTCTGATAGACTAATGAAGATAAAACTCTACATTGGTCAATCAATACTACACATCCTTTCATTATATGCTCCTCAAACGGGTTGCAAAGAAGAAGAGAAAGATGATTTTAGAGCTATCCTCGATGAAGCTGTAATGGAAATCCCTAAGGATGACCTAGTCATAATTGGTGGTGACTTAAATGCGCATGTGGGGAAAGCAAGAGATAGCTACAAAAGGCATCATGGTGGTTTTGGATATGGAGAAAGAAATGATGAAGGAGAGTATATACTGAAATTTACGCAAGCCTTCGACCTTGCCTTAACCAACACCTACTATAGGAAAAAGGATAGTAATTTAATAACATACGAAAGTGGTACAAGGAAAACACAGATAGATTACATACTAATCTCTCGCAGAAGATTAAAAGATGTAATAGACTGCAAAGTCATCCCAGGAGAAGATATCGCCGCACAACACAAGCTACTAGTCATGGATTTACACATCTCAAATAAATCCACTCAAAACAAGATAAAACTGGAACCATGCATCAAATGGGGCAAATTAAAAACAATGACAGATGCCTTTGCAATCAATGCAAACATTAAAACAATAGATTCCTCACAAGTCAGTGAAAAAATGTGGACAGACCTTTCATCCAGATTAATAGACACTGCCAAATCGACACTAGGCTTGACAAGAGGAGGCAACAAATCATATAAAGAACTATGGTGGTGGAATGAAGAGGTACAAACCACTATACAGGAGAAAAAAGCCATTTATAAAATATGGTACAAATCCAAAAACGCAGATGGCAAGACAAGATACAAAAAATCCAAGAGATTAGCTACAAAGGCGGTGGCTAGGGCCAAATCTATGGCATACGATGACATGTACGAAGATCTACATACCAAAGAAGGGCAAAATAAAATATACAGATTAGCCAAACAGCGAGAAAAGAACTCTAGGAATATAAACGGAGCTCCGAAAGTAATCAAAAATAAAGATGGGAAATTGATAATAAAGGAAAAAGAAATAATGAGCAGATGGAGAGAATATTTTCAGGAGCTTCTCAACTTTAATCCGCACATACTGCATGACGAACACTCCCCATGTCAAATTGAACAACCAATAACAGAACAAGAGATAATCATATGCCTCAAGCATATGAAAAACAACAATAGGGGACCAGATGGTATTCCAATAGAAAGCCTTAAAGCACTAGGAGATGATGGAATACATTTCCTCACAAATCTATACAATAAAATACTTGGAAATGAAGTGGTTCCCCAAAAATGGAAGCAGAGCTATCTAGTTCCTATTTTCAAAAATAAAGGGGATCCACACAATTGTCAAAATTACAGGGGCATAAAACTAATGTCACACTGTCTAAAACTATAAGAAAAATAATAGAAAAAAGATTAAAAAACATAATCGAAATAGGAGAGACTCAGTTTGGCTTTATGCCTGGAAGATCAACAACCGATGCTATCCACGCAATTAGGCAAATGAGTGAAAAATACAGGGAAAAGAACAAAAAGCTACACATGGTCTTTCTCGATCTAGAAAAGGCCTTTGATAGAATCCTAAGAAAACTTATCTGGTGGGCGCTACGCCACAAAAATATATAAGAATAATACAGGATATGTATATGGGCCATACAACAATGGTCCGTAGCACAACAGGTACTTCAGCAGGCTTCACAATAGCTGAAGGAGTTCATCAAGGGTCGGCTCTCAGCCCACTTCTCTTCATTACAGTGATAGATGTATTAGCACAGTCTATACCTCAAACAGTCCCGTGGAATATGATATTTGCAGATGATATTGTGATACTTGCCGAATCTAAGGATGAAATGAAAGAAAGACTAGTGAGTTGGATAAATATCCTAGAAACGCACGGATTAAAAGTAAATAGAGAAAAGACGGAGTATATGGTGATAGGAGGATATGAAACAGAGAGTATTGATATAAATGAATGACAGATATCGGCCATTGAAAGCTGCAAATATTTGGGCTCCACTATACAAACAAACGTCACAATAGAAAAAGAGATAAAGAGTAAGATTAATCAAGGGTGGCTAAAGTGGAGATCTTTATCTGGAGTGCTATTTGATAAAAGAATCCCACACAAATTAAAGGGAAAAATTTACAGTTCCATAATACAACCAACTATTCTATATAGTTCGGAAACATGGCCAACCAAAAAATTAGACGAGAGAAGTCTACAAACCATGGAGATGAGAATGCTGAGGATGATTGCTGGGGTAACAAGAAAGGATAAAGTACGCAGTACAAGAATACTAAGTAGTTTAAAGGTAGTGCCCATTAAGACTAAGTTAATGGTAAACAGACTTAGGTGGTATGGGCACACAATGAGAAGGCCTATGAACTACATAGGAAATAAAGTTAAGAGTTTGGAAGTGATGGGCAAACGTAAAAGAGGAAGGCCAAAACTTCAATGGGGTCATAAAGTTAGAGCCAATATAAAGAAGTATAAATTAGATAAAAGAGATTTTATTAATAACATAAAGTGGAGAGAGATGTTGAAGGAGCTTACCACCAGAAAAGGTGAAAGCTAAAGAGAAAAAAAAAATTAAAATATTTTTTGGTATAAATAACTGATCTTTTTCGTATATCCAAAAAGTCTCTTTCTTTTTAGGTTGTTATGAGGAAGATATTTATAGACGAATGTTTAGAAATAAGAGGAACCACGACATGGCCAGAGGAGCCAAGCAAATTGCTTTCTTAATAAAAAAAAATTATTTGCTACTTACTAGATATAAATTTTTTGAAAATTGAAAGCAACAATTTTTGCAGATGGGTGATTTGCCTTTTTAGCAAAATATCTTTATAATCGAATTTATTATTTTCTTATAGTTTTACATATTCGAATTCTTCAATATCAATAATATCCCTCTTCCATATTCAATTCTGTAAAACTTTAAATATTAAGTAAATTATAATAACACTTATTTTAATAAATAACTTATGATTAAAAATCTTAGGCAATATTAAATTTGTTATATTCTTTTATATTAAAGTATAAGATTAATAATTTAAAAAGTGTCCTTGGGACGCAGTATAAAGGACTGACGTTTTTAGGACAGATTTTCAAGGGCGAGACCAACGTCCAGACGGATTTTTCTCATTAACCACTCAAGAAAATATAATATTGTAATATTACGGTTTAATATTTAATTACCATTATTTTTAAATGGCTATAATTTTTGTGGACAATAATTTTATCATCAAAAAATTAATATTTTTGGCAGTAAATTAAAGACAATATTATTAAGTTGTCATATTATATAATAAAATTTAAAATAACATGAATGTAATTGAAATGAAATGCAACTCAATGTTTAATTATATGTATAATTTTTTTATTGCTACAAAACCCTATTTCTATTTAAAATTATTCTTGCCAAATAAATATAATACCTAACAAAAAAAGTAATATTTCCCAAACATAAAAAACTTTAACTGCCCAAAGTAATATTACCACTCATTTCTGATTGAAAATTGTCCCAATAATTTGTTATATTTTAATTGCTATTATCTTCATCATTTAGCCCTGAATTCATTTTTAATTATATTTAATCTTTCCTATCATGCTCAAGAATCATAAAAAGTCTATTTCTAAACCAGAAATTTTTTTGCCTTCTGGTACAAACATAACTGACAACATTGTCAAGGCAAAAAACAATGGATATAAAATGAGGACAATAAAAACGATGAGGAAATTTGTTATAGATGGGGTTTTAGTCACTACTACCACAAGTAAAATAGTGTCTCCCGGAAATGAGAACAAGAATAAAAAGGATTATTTGAACAGGTTAATAATGATCTCTCGTTAATTCCTTGCATAGCATCATCTAATTTTATATACATTTATAGAAAGTATGCCCTTCGAGAATTGAAATACATTCAAAAGTTGGAACATAAACAATTTCAGGAGCTATATTACAAAGCTCAATTTTTGCGCGATCAACAAGAGAAATTATTCGATATGGAATTACAGGTTATATTTTAGTATTATTTTAAGTATTGGGTGGATGAAATCGATATATATTAAAATATTTGATTTAACTCCAAATAAACAAAAAACATAAGAGTATCATGAAAAATTTCGACCATCAGTTAGAGATGCTGAATCGACAACAAAAGCAGCAAGTTATGAAAGCTGAAAGGTTTCAAGCTTTCGATTTAAAATCGGCTCAAAAGCGCGTCATTAAAAATCAAGTTTCTTTTTATTATAATGGAATGTATTATATATGATTCAATAATTTTTTAAATGTTTAATTAGGAAAAGGAATACAAGGCATTCAAAGAAAATTTTAAATGCGAGTTAAAGTACATGAAGCAGGAGATGGAAAATGCTCCTCGGGTTCAGAAAAAAGATGTCTTCAAAAAGAAGAAAGAATTTATGGATGCATCGCAAGAAGAAAGGGTTCGTTCGTTGTTGATTTTAGAAGATATAAAAGTGATACCTTTTTTAATATTAGGAAAAACGATTTTTGAATAAACAGGTTAACGATTTAGAAATAATATTGAATGGTATAAACGATCATCATCAAGAAAAAATCGCCGTTTTAGAGGCTCAAATCTTACAACAAAAACATCACATATTAAGAAGTTAGTCTACATTTGTTATAATAAAATGGTATCCAATCAATATCATATTGGCACCCCCCCCCCCTTCAAACCTCCCATTTTTTAACACGCAATTGCGTATATCTTAGGCTATGTTAAAATTATTTTAAATATTTGCATATAACAAAATTTTAGAGCATATATAAGGGTAGGTCTATAAGTCGAAAGGCTGCATGATACGAAAGGCTAAAAAATAATATTGAAAATAAAAAATAACAAAGAAAATGATTAATGAGAATTTTGATTGATTTATTGCTTTCTTTACGAGAAAAATATTATAATAACATACATTATAATATATTAAAAAATTGGAAATTTTAAGATCTTTTCAATTTTTTTATTAATTCTTTGTAATAATTTACGGTTTTAATTTAATTAATTTTTAAATTAAATTTTTGATTAAATTATATTTCGTTATGATTTTATTACAATTTTAAAAAGATGAAATTTTTGAATTTTTAAGTTTTTTTCAAAACTAAATTGATAGTAAGTATAAAGATATTGTAAGTACTGGATTACGAAGTAATTAACAAATATAAATTAAATAATAAATTTTTTTTTAAGTTTTCGGTTCGAAAAATATTTTTTTTGTCGCGAAAACATTCAAAAGGCTACTTTTAACATAATTTTAAATATTTTTATATCATTGAACTCAGAATTAAATTTTCTATCTAAAAATGCTTAGATGTATTTTATTACGTTAACGGTTCAAAATATATTTTTTTTGTTGCGAAAACTATCAGAGGGAAAGCTCAATGATATAAAAATATTTGAAATTACGTTTAAAATTGTTATTCATTAAATAAAGCTCTTTTTAGAGCCTTCTATACTTATAATATATATATTTATTTTTATTTAGTAATTTTTCCTACTTTTATATACTTGTTTTAATATTTTAATATTTTATCATTTTTTTAAATAAATAAAAAAATTTATGAACTATAAAAAAAAAATTATAATATTTTTCTAAGTAAGCAATAAATCAATCAAAATTCTCATTAATCATTTTCTTTGTTATTTTTTATTTTCAGGTTTTTTTTGTAGCTTTCGTATTATGCAGCCTTTCGACTTATAGACCTCCCAGTATTTCATTATAGATTTTATTTATTATATAAAAATACGATAACTCACTGAATCACGGGGAAACTTTTAATATATTTAAAAAAAAATTTTTTAAATAAAAATAGGTGGAAATTTTTTGATGTAATAATAATTCAAGGTTTCATTACTTTAAAAGTTTTATAAATTGCATACTTTTTTCGTGCAATTGGCATAATTTTAGATTATTTTTTTTATTAAAAAATAATAAATAGATGATAGTCTGGATTTTGGTAGAAATTTTTTATCATAATTCTTTAATTTTACAATAAAAACAAGACATGTGTTATGAACAGGGTTGCCAGGTCAAAATTTTCAAATTGAGGGAGAAATTTGGTATTTTGCGGGAGAAATATGAAAATTGCTGTAGAAATATAAAAATTGCTAAAAAAAATTTTTTTGCGGGCCTTCGGCCAGGATTTTGAATTGACTTAATTATCCGCCTATTATTTTTTATAATTAGTTTATATAAATACAATGTCGGTAACTACTATTTTTCAAAATAAAATAACATCTAATATATTAAAATATATTAATTTATAAAAAAAACTAACGATCCTTTTTAAATATAAAAAAATGTAAACAAGATAAAAATTTATAAAAAAACAAACGATTTTAATTTTACAATGTAAAAAATATATTTTATGCGAATGTCCCCCGCAAAACATCCGCAATTGGAAATCTACCTTGTGTGTGTATAACGTTATAGGGATTCATGTATCACTTTTAAATACATAATAAGGTAATATTGTACTCATTTCAATTATAAATATTTTATTTATTATTGTTCAATCATATTATTATAATCAGTGCAGGAGAATGTATCTCCATTGCAAAACAAAAATATTCTCCAAAAATAAGATATAATACAGATGCAACTACAGTTACGGCAATTGTGATCACTTATCTAGTAGTATAACATTCACAGAGCTACTTATCATTACAAAGTGCATAGAATCTTTCTCCATAATATTTAACGACTTTAAGATAAATGAAAACTTTACTTGTATTACAAAAATGAGCAAGGATATCATCCTGAATTCAGGTGGTCAATTCTTGACGATTTGAAAGATGGGCATATATATGCAATTCTAACAGATGCATCTAATAAGGGAAATATTTTTCAACAAAATTAAGGACGTTTCAAGAAAACGATTAAGTTTTTTCCCCTTAAATAGTGAAAAATTCAAAGACATAGTTAACCATATAATGGTAAATATAGCAGATTCGGGATTATCAATAAATTGCATGTCAGCTTTCTGATCTGATAATGCCTCAGTGAATTTGGAAAAAACCAGAGTGTATTTACAGAATTGAGTCAGCACAATGATAGTTGCGATATGTTCCTTAATACCCGCCATCGATAGAATCTTAAAATTTTATAAACCTTTAAAAATAAATTTCTTAAATAAAGAATAAGCTGTCCTAACATTTTGAAAATTTTTTTCAATAATGAATGGCAGAGGTTATATTTAGGATTGATTTCACATGTAGGAAATCTACTACATGCTGTTAATGTGCAGTTGCAATCAGAAAAATTTTAACAAAGATTCACAAAATTATACTGCAGATGTGTTCATCTTTACAGTTAAAAATTGACAATAAATTTTATGGCGCCATTGATAAAACTATATTAAAATGTTCAAGTATTTTAAAAATACCGATAGACATTGATGTCTTGTTTGGGGATATTATAATGCTCTCTATTTTTGATATACAATGTAAAAAATATATTTATTTTATGCGAATGTATAAATAAAAAAATATGGAAAATTAAATATAATGTTAATTATATTTTATTTGAGATTTAAATAATGTAACTAAACGTTACATTGTTATTGAGATATTTATAAAATTCCTGGTATGACATATTATAAATTTGTTTAACCATTAGCTCGGCCTCTAATGTTGTTAAAGCAATCCAATTACTTCCTTTTTCCAGGCAGTCCTCATCAGGCTATAAATGCGCACGGATGAGGCATTAGAATGAGTTAAGGAGTTGACATACTCGCATATTTTTTCCGAGCATGGGGATTTATTGTTATTACGAAAAAATTCAACCCATATCTCCTTTACTTTTAGACCATCTAACTTTAAGTATTCTGGCTAATCATAAAAAATAGAGAGAATTACAATCTCCTCAAACAAGACATCAATGTTTTTCTTATTAAATTACAAATACTATCAATTGATGGTTTCTGTTCCAAGGTCATATTTATACATTTGTAAATAGAGTTATTAAAATCAAATTTTGATTGTAAATATTTTAAAATTGTCATAATAAAAATATCTGATAAAAATGTATTAATTAGAGTATTATTTTAACATTTTAATATAATATTTTTAGCAATAGCGCTATAAAATTTATTATCAATTTTTATGTAGAGATGAACAGAACTGTAGCATGATTTTGTGAATCTTTATTAATAAAGAATATTCTGATTACAACTGAATATTAACTGCATGAAGTAGATTTCCTACATGTGAAACTAATCCCAAATATGCTTCTGCCATTTCATAATCCAATAAATTTTTCAAAATTTTAGGACAGCTTTTAAAATCTTTATTTTATTTTTTTACGGTTTTATAAAATTTAAAATTCTATCGATGGCAGATATTAATGATAACCACCTGATAGGTATATATCGCAACAACTCACACCATTCCAAGTCAGACCACTCCACCAACTCTTTTAATTCATTGACTCTTTTAGTTGATGAACTAAATTCGTTAAAACATTTCATCATAATATTTCGACATTCACAGATAGTACATTCATTGCCTTCTTGCAAGAATCATGTTGTATACAGCCAATTGGCATTTAGTAATTATTGAGCTGCCTCAATTAGGTAAATACACTTTGGTTTTTGCCAAAATTTACTGAGGCATTATCAGCGCAGATAGCTGACATGCAATTCATTGATAATCCTGAATCAGCTATATTTACATTATGTGTTTAGCTACATCGTTGGATTTTTCACTATCCGAGGAAAAAATTTTTAACAGTTTTATTGAAATGTTCTTATTCTAGTTGAAATAGCGAAGGATCAAGGGAAGTGTTTTAATATTTCCCTTATTAGATGCATCTGTTAGAATTGCATATGGATGCTCATCTTTCAAATCGTCTAGAATTGACCTCTAGGATTCAGGTACTAAAACCAAGTAAGGTTTGCACTTATATTGGAGTCATTAAATATCATGGGAAAAAGATTCGACCTACATTGTGATGATAGAGCTCTGTGAATGTTGAACTACATGATAGGTTTATACAATTTCCGCAGCTGTAGTTGCATCTCTATTATTTGTTATTTTTGGAGAATAATTTTGTATTGCAATCGATGTTGATATACTCCCCTGTACTGACTTATATGAATGAAATGATGTTGATTTATTATTGGATAAAAATAAAACAAGATAGAAAAATTTACTAACTAGTTTTCGAATAAATATTTAAAATTTATTAAAATATATAAAAATAATCAATTAATGTCTCTCAAAATCTATTTATATATTAAAAACGTTAAAATACTTTTTTAAAAAAATTGCGGGAGAAATTAAAAAATTGCGTTAGATTTTTGCGGGAGATTTCCAGTTGCTGTAGTTTTGCGGGAGAGAGATGTCTGCGTGTAAACTAAAAAATTGCCGGAGTCTCCCGCTGATGGGGGGAGACATGGCAACCCTGGTTATGAAGCTACTAAGTTAGGAGTAGGACTATTAAATCAATTAATCAATTTATTAGAATAAAATTTTTTTTGTGAAAAAAGGTTGATATTTCAAAAAAGAAATAGTTATATGTAGATTTATAAATTAAAAGTAAGCATGTTTAATTTGGGCATCGTGGTTTAAAATCTTTGAAATTGAATGACCAATAAAATTAAATATAA